TGGGGTGAAACACCACAGTGCCACTATCTGGTTCAGCACCAAGGGCCACACAAGCTCAGGCACACTCCATCTTAGGCACCTGTAATTCTTCTCCTGTGTTCACCTCCATATTCACTTGACTTGTGATCTTTATTACAACCCTATTATTGTGATCTTTATTACAACCCTATTATTGTGATCTTTATTACAACCCTAATACAAGCCTCTAATTTCAGAGGTTGTTCTCTTAATTTAATTTAGTATCTTTGAGTTCTATCAAAGATAATTATCTTCATTACATCTTGCTCTTAAATTTCCCCATTGTGTCCCACACAACATGCAAATAAAACTGTTGATCTCAGTCTCAGTAAATACTCAGAGAGTTCAGGAACTTTTTGAACACCTTAAGATGCTCTAGAGCCTTGCTTTTAACCCCTGTGTATTCTCGGAGGTGTGTCCAAACCCCACTGGCCACACCAGACGCCAGTATCAAACCCAAAACCTTCATTGGTTTGACCACAGCTTCCCAGAATTCCCACTCCTTCCTGGTCAAACCAGGTCACCCAGATTCATTTCCTATGCTAATTCACTGAGTCAGAAACACATCAAGGAAATATTCTAAGAGGAGTGAGCAAATAAATTAAAAGCTAGTGGACTAATTTGACTATAGAGCTGTAATGCCTTTAAGTTCCTAAATATCTATGTGAAGTTTTAAACTTATCTGCAACCTCAACTATTACAGCCCTCTGCTCACTGTCCTCCGGAACAAGTAATAATCATTAATATAAATAACAATGTGAATATAATTACTATAAATTAATGTCAGGAATCTCTTATATTTCCTGACAAGGTGGATATTGGTACAACTGCTGCACAGATTCCAACCTGAATGGGGTTTACTACCGCAGAGGAGAGCACACCAAGAACATGGATGGCATCACCTGGTACGGGTGGCACGGCTCCACCTATTCCCTCAAGAGAGTGGAGATGAAGATCAGGCCAGAGGATTTCAAACCATAGAAGAAATCAGTGTTTGATTGTACAGCTCCATGACTTCACCATGCAAAAGGTGGGCAACAAACAGCCAAATGATGTTTTATTTCATCCAATACGTGCAACAGCTATGTACTGGTGATGTACACAAACACTGTGACATCAGTCACAGCCACCAGTACTACCAGGACTCAGGCTTGTTTCCTCCTCTTCAGGCTCTTTCCAAAGGGAAAAACATTGTGTTAGAGTAGCTTAGAACTGAATGCACTTCTAGCACCTTCAGAAAAGCCATGGGTGTGTTTTCACTAGCAGTGTGATTGCTGGGTTGCCTTAGTACTATTAACCAGATAGGCAGGGACTGAAAAGCAAAAGCCTCTTGGCTTCCTTTCCTTCAGTGTCTGGAGCAAGCACTGCTAAGCAACTTCCTTCAAGAAGTACTCAAACCACAAAAGTTATAGACTCATTTCAAGCCAGAGGAATCAATCAGAAGTGCCCCTGATGCACTTTTCTTTAGTAAGTGGCTTACTTTCCTACAGAAGAACAAACAAAGCTCAAAAATGTTGGGTTAATTTGCATTGTCCAGATTCTCTCCTGACCTTTTACTGCCACCTCCTGCTGCTGCCTCAAATAATCCCCACTGAAGGCTGCCCTGAAAAACAGTAACACTGGAGGAGGATTTGTCCCATGGGCCCTCCAATGTTTATTTCTATCCACACAGATCACCTAAATGCTGATAAACTAGAAAAACAACTTCCTGGGCTGTTCCCAACCTGTGTTCAGGTTAGAATACAAACTTGCTGTATATCAGTGAGGCTGAGAGTGAGCAGCAGCTTAGCAAGCCAAAAAACTCAACTCCAACACTAAAAACCACTGTACCCATGAGCAGAACACCAGTACACACCAGAGAATCCCCAAGTGCCAAAAGTTATTTCACTGTAAGGGAATGTTTGCTAATACAGCAGATTGAGGAGTATCAAAATCTGTTTCAGCTTCCCAGGTGGAAGTTACCTAGAGATAATCTGTCAAAAACAGTAAACTTCTCCCTCAGATAACATAGTGTTAAAGATAACAGTTAAAAAAGAATGAGACTCCTCCTACAGCCCTACCATTGTTTGAGTGTGTTGGAAAATTACCATTATAATTAAGATATCTATTTTTATTCACCTTGAAGAGAGTTTGAATCTAGATTAGGTTGTTCAGTCCTGTGTGAAATGGAAGAGAAAGATGTCTTGGGAATTTACATATGTTTGAATATTCATAATGCAATTTTCAACTGTGTGGAACTATAATTGGAACTATTTTAACTGTGGTCTAGAATGGATTTTTAAAGGTTTCTAAAACTTTTTTCATTTCCAATAAATTGTTTCATTTTTAAGTGTGCTTTACGTCAATTCTTTGATCCTTAACTTGCTTTTTGATACACAAAAAAACAACTGCATAAGCAACTGAGACCAAGAAAAAAATACACTGAATTCTGTATTTTTCTCAATAACATGAGGCAGAATGAAGGGTGAAAAAATAATAGAGGAGGAAAAAATTGGAAAACGCAATTCCAAGGAAGCAGGAGAGTTGAAAAATTCACTGCATAAAGTCAAAATTAAGTTTTTGCTCAACCAAAATCAATTTGTTCAACTCAAATAGCTGAGCTAACATTTCTGTGATACAGAATAGAGATTCACATTTTAAAACATGTAGTTTAGCATCAAATCCTGTGCAGGTTATCTCAGGCTAACATCTGTGTCACTGACCAAGCTCAGAAACAACACATCATTTATAATATCTTCTATCTGACAGGAGAGCAATGAGCCCTACCTAAGCTAAATCAGCAGAATGTGATGAGGAATTTTAATTAAGAACTTCAACTTTTCTGACTTATTTATATGCAGGTATAGAAATCTGTTTCATTTAACCTGCAGCCATTTCATGACATTCCATAGTGAATGGAAGGGTGAGAGAGGGGAATCTGAACTTTTTCCAGCAAAACTTCCCTGGGCTTCTCTCATAGTTTTAACCACACAGTAGAAGGACAGAACTCAGCAGCTAAAATTGCACATTTTCAAGTAGTTTAACAACATCTTGTGGCAGAGTGAAATCCTAAGAACGGCCTAGATTAATCCTGGTGGTATCTTAAATTGTAGCTACTTGCAAGAGCAGAAATCTCTCCAGTTATGGTCCTACCTGATCAGAGACTCCAGAATGGCTGGGGTGGGACCCTTTTGAAATTCCAGCTCTTTGTAGTGAAGGGCTTTGGCATAAGCTCGACATTTGGCAGCTCTTTCCCCCAGAAGGACAATGCCATTGTCATCTCTCAGAGGCAGGGGGCCCTGGGAAGGACACACACACACCAGAAACAGGATGAGCATCACACAGCCATGAATTCCACACAGAATAACCACCAAAATAGCAATGGAAGGGGCTGCCCAACAGCATCTCTACCTTGTCACTGTGCTCCATGAATTCTGCCAAGTTCAGTAGGGTCTGGGTGACTTCTGCAATGTCCTGAGAAGTCAAGGCCAGCTCAATGCTTCGGATCAGCTCATCCTGCTGGTCCTCGTTCAGCTCAGACCAGCAAGAAACAAAGGCAGCATTGAAGAGGTCTCTGGGGAGGAACACAAAACAGTGTGAGGTGGGATTCATGAGAAAAAGTCTGTTTGACAGTGGGCTCACCTTCTTACCCAAAGAGAGCTAAAAAATACACTTACATGCCTGCCTGCAATAAGCAGTGATTAGTTTTGATAAAGCTAACTTCATTTAAAAATACAGAATAGGCTGGCATACTACAATAATAGAAATATTGTGCTATCATATGCTATCAAAGCTTCTCCTAACATGCTGGTTGTAATTAACCACTGCAGTTTATTCCACTCAGATGCATTTTTATTCCCCACAGTAAATACTCAATACAAATATTTCATATTCTGCTGTTTTTCCAGCTTCACTTATGTGCATTACCTTCTTTCTGGACTAACATGCAGAATTTCAATGAAAGATTTTGTGCACATCATAGAGCAGCCAACTAGGAAGGGTGAAAATGAAATCAAGCTGTTGGCTCTTTGATTTATGCCAAAGCAGGAACTGTCTCTATTTATGAAACCTAAGAGCTTCTAAATAACTTTCTTTTTTCCTTATAATATCTGGCTTCCATCTGCCATTTCAAATGATAAAACCCCAGAAATTCTGTACCGAGCCATGGGATTATAGGCCTGAGCCAGGGCCCAACACGAGCGCAGGGATGGTGAGGAAGAATCTTTCAGCAGCTCCAAACTCAGCCTCCTCAACCATTCCAACCAGTCATCCTTGGAAACTCTTCTGGCTGCTCCCCAGGCCTGCAGTACAAAGGAAGATAATTCACCAAACAAAGCATTAATTAGCCAAGAGCACAAGAAATCCATCAGCAGGCAACATTACTTCCTCACAGCTCCAAAGCACATGCTGAGAATTCCTTTTCAATTTCCTGAAATCCATTACCTTTACCAGATAATCTGCAGTGCTTAAGTCTCATGACTAAGAAATCTTCCCTAAATGCATTCCTGCCATGACATAGCAAGTATTTAACATGAACAATCCTTTCTCTGCAAAAACACACGTTGAGCTGAAGACGTTGTTGAAACATCAGCTTAAAAATACTTAATGCATTTAGAATTACATTTTTAAGTCCAGCATTTTCAAACCAATCCATCCCAGTACTGAACTGTGTGCTGCATGCATGTACTGTTCAAACTAGCCAGTGCTTAGCTATTAAGTTCTGCCTTCAAGAAAATATAAAACTAGGATGTAAGAAGAGCAAAAGCAAAACTACAAAAAAATAGCAGAGGCTTTGAAAAAGATGTCTCTATTGGCAAGAGATTATTCATTGTGACCTACAAAGTCTTGTTCATACTTAAGCAAGTGTGAAGGTTACTTCACAGCCTATCTTAAAAGTTGCTCTGCACCTTCTAATTCTAAAGAGTCTCAGACACTACTTTGACTTCAGTTTTGTACAGAAGAGAAAAGCAACATAAAAGCAATTTAAATAAATAAAGTTCAGATGCATCAGACAAAACTCTTTCAGTGTGACACATCAGCTCTCTTCAGCAGCAAATTCACACTGTGAAGGCTCTGGTCTTACCTTCTGCAGGTTGATGGTGCTCACATGTAATTTCTTCATGGGACCTGTTTCCACAGGACCAGTGGCTGAAGTTTCTCCCTGGTTGCTCCTCAACATTCGATGCTGATAAATCAGGGGATCCTCCTCTTCATCAGCAAGAGTGTAACCCTACAAGAATTGGTTTACAGTGAAGATCACACTCACACATACAGAAGCAATTCTTGACAAGCCAAAAAAAAAAAGAGCACTTGCAGCAAATAACCATGTTTTGTTATAAGGATTACACCTTATAAGCCAGAGAACTCTAAACAATATCCTTTTGCTACTCAAGGTAACTGTCAAGAACTCTCAGCTCCTAGTATAAAAAGCCAAAATAATGTACATTGAAACAAGCACTATTGCCTATCTGACTTGTAAACCAGTTGTAAATTGTAAACCAGTCACTAAATTTTTAAAATGTAAGACATTCCACAGAAAATAATGAGGTAAGGTCTCCTCAAATCCTGAAACTATGGAAAAAATAGGATAAATCCACATTTAAGAAAAGAATAGTAATGCCACTGGCTACAAGTCTAAGTTCTTCCCTAGAACTTGCCATGATTTTTCCACAGGAAATATTTAATATCAGTAGACAAAAAATTTCCCATTGTAACCTCAAAGTTGCATTAAAAAGCTGCACTTTAAACTGAAACAGAGCAACAACCACTCTTCATTTTATGAGTAAATCCAGGTGAAGGTTCCAGCTACATCTGTTTCAACATGACAATATCCCAAAAGTGCAAACAACTGTACACTTGTCAGCTTACCTTCACAATTCTGCAGATGAGCACATCATAGCGTTGATGGTTAATTCTGTGTCTCACCAGGACTTTGTTCACCATTGGGATAAAAATCTGGTACTGTAAAAGGGAATGCATCACAAACTTGTTACTCAGTGGCACCAAGAGCAGTAAAATTCCATCTCATTGTTTCATTGATGAGAAACCAATTCTGACAGTTTGATTTCAGTAGCTCTCAATTCCAGGAACAACTAAGAGAAGAAAAATCAGTTCTCTTAGAAATGTGTGAATACATTACAAAATTTCAAATTTAAAGCCTTGATCTCTGGGACAGTCACACCTCCTGTGAGCTTTCAAGGCAAAGAATAATATTACCTTCTTTCCCAGCTGGAACACCAGAGAGGAGAGGGTGTCCATGGCAGTTGTTCTCAGCTCAGGGCTCTGATCCAGTGTTCGTACGATGGGGTGAATAATCCGCGACGCGTAATCCGTGAAATCCAGGGACTCTGTCAGGCGATCCACTGTTTCCAGAGCAGCTCTTAAGTCAGAGAAAAAACAGGGAAGAACTTATCTCAGAGTGTCAAGGAAAAAATAAGAAAAATTATTAAAGTGCTCAGTCCTCCTAGGATTAATAACAATAGGAAAAACAGGCCACAGAACTCTGTTAAAGCAGCTTGTACTTGCAGGACAGTTTGCAAGTGACTAAAATACTGGCAGGTGAGAATCAGAAAATTAAAAAAAACCCAAAGAAACAACAACAACAAAGAAACCCAAACCAACCAAACAAAAACAACCAAAACCCACCAAGAAACCCAAAAAATTAGTAACACTGCTGTAATGTCCAAACAACCTTCCACAGGTTTAACACAGAAAAGCTGAGGAAGGGACTAAGAAGTATTTAATTGTAAATGTTCAGCTACTGCAGAGCTTGGATATCACAGGTAAAACTACAAAGAGAGGGACTGCAAACCACCAGCACTTACTTGCGAGCCACCACAGGGACATCTGGGGCATCAAACAGCTTTACAATGGGAGGTAGCAACAAATGAAGGTAATCATCCAGGTTAGCTCCAAAGAGCTGGATTGCATTAAGGAGCTGGAGAGAAAAATCACAGAAGACTAGAATGTCAAAGGGTTTGAATGGATCTTAAAGATCATCTAGTCACAACCCTCCTGCCATGGGCAGGAACATCTTCTACTAGATCAGGGTGCTCAAGGCCATATTCAACCTGACTCTGAACCCTGTCAGTGTTGGGGCATCCACAACTTCCATCCGCAGCCTGTTCCAGTGTCTCACCACCCATGCAGTAAAGAATGTCTTCTTAATGTCCAACCTAAATTTCCCCTCTTCCAGTTTGTACCCGTTACTCCTTTTCCTGTCACTACAGTTCCTGACAAAGTGTCTCTCTGGCTGCCCTATAGCTCCTTTCATATCTCCATACAACCTCTTCCTCTCCAGGCTGAAGAGCCCCAGCTTTTCCAGCCTGTCTTCATCGTGGAGATGCTCCA